AAAGGTTTGACGGATATCTCGTTCAGCAACTTCTAATTAATTTATTCTCGCGTACCAAAGACAAAGCAAAAGCCAATATTTGATCGTCCAAACTAAGTGATATATTTAGGGACCAAAACAAGCCTTCAGACGAACGCTTAGCTAGCTAGTGATCGTGCACGTGACACGACGGGGTACCAAATGGCGGGGATGCTTGACCGGAAGCCTTCAGCTAAACAAGTCGACTTAAACAGTGGTGGTCAGCATCCAATGAGTGATTGCTGTGGTCAATAATATTGGGGAATTATTTTTTACCGCTACACGTGACTTAATTTCAAGCGATATTGCGCTTACAGTAATGTAAACATTCAATCACAAGATCGAACATAATAATGGACACCACAGTTTATTTTGTACTGGAATGACGTCAGGACAGATACAGAAGGCTCATATAGCATTTACCAATTTACGCCATCTCTGGCTTAGCAGATGTTATATCAAAGTACATGTATACTGTTCAGCAGTTTGCTCCATCCTCCTTTATGTCTGGCTGTGAGTGGGACATCGGGATTTAAAGTGAAACACATGAAAACACCGACCAACTAGCTAGCTGTCTTCGATCATACGTCTTTGCGTTCTGTCTACATTTCGCGTTAGGTGGCATAACAAGGTGAGCAATACTGAGTTGGTGAGGAATGCATCGGTTGAGTGAGATGTTTAGGACATCTGTTATAAATGCGTAGCCATCGATCGCCTTCCTCGACTGACGAGCAATGTCAGCCGCTGAGATATGATGTATGAATCAAGTTGAAAAAGAGCTAGCTATCACGTGGTGGTCAGACAAATACAGGGCGTCATCAGTCAATGAAATCCATAACAACAGTTAGTTTAAGCCAGCTAGTTGCCACGTGGGGGGGTATAGACGGGCCGCCTGGCTGGTTGATGTCCTCATGACGGTAAGGACCAATGACGTCTGGAGACAATTGGAGGTGATATGGCTGGCTGAAAATCCTCGTTGTCAATAATGTCATTTCTCATATCCAAAAAAAAATCCCTCATGTTTTTCCATGTCACTATTCTTTCTCCCTCATATTTCTGATTACTTTCGTTCTTTTGAATCTCTTTTTTTCTGCTGTCTTCTCTTGAATGCTACACCGGGTGTGGCAAGTTGAACTACTACACTTCAGTGTGAAGTTCTGTGTCGAAACTCGACCAGTACTGAAATGGGTTTCACAACAAGTATGTGTCTACCATTAGTGCACCAGAAAAGTTTTACTCAAATATATTGGAGACTTTTGAACTAACTGCATCATTTCTAGTTGTGAAACCTCTTAGAAGTACATAAAAGGAAGGGGAAGGAGTATGCATAGGAGTAAGAATTAGTGCCTGTAGAATCATGAGAATTTTCGTAAAATGATATAAAGGGAATATATATATATATATATATATATTACGAGTTGATTACGGATTGACATCAGTTAGAGAACCATCGGAAACTAGAAAGCACTGAACAGCTGCTGTTTCATCCTAGTTTGGGAATCATCGTCACTACACACCCACCACTAGGGTTCGAACCCAAGACCTTCCGGTTACAAGGCAAGCTGGCTCGTACCATTCAGCCACTGGGCCTCGATTCCTTAATGGCCAGTGCATGATTTCTAACTTCTACTAATTCGTGATTTAGCGCGACCCCAAGCATTGTCGTTGGTGGGACATTCAGCTGTCCAGTACTCGCTGGCTTTCAATGGTTCTCTAACTGATTGATATCAATCCGTGATCAACTCGTAAAACATAACTAATCCTTGCAAACCAAACTATAGAATATATATATAACCTCGATTTTATGGTAGGCCAAAACTACACAAACTAAGCATTCCCTTACAACCGATCATTTCGCTTCCAGGAACACCAACATACTATCTATCTAAAGAACTTTTCAGGAAATTAAATTACCTAACAGAATTATGCGACCATTTTATCAATTCGTCAATCCAATTTTTAGAGAAAATCAAAAACATTCAAGTAGAAGACAATGAAATAATGGTGTCCTTTGATTTCACAGAGAACCAACCAGGAACCGATTGTGAAACAAATAGGCAGGAAGAAATGGAGATCGATTGGCCATACACTGAGGAAACCATCAAGTGACATCACTATACAAGCCATTGCTCGAGTGGAACCCGAAAGGGAAGCGGCGAGTTGGTCGTCCAAAGGTGATTCGGAGGAGGTCATGTGAGGAGGAGATGAAAGCATGTGAGCAGACTTGGAGCGGAGTCAAGAAGTTGGCAGAAAATCGAAGGCAATGGAGACGCGCAGCTGAAGCCCTACATTCCTCTAGGAATTAAAGGATATAATAATAATAATAATACCGCTGTTTATATATCTACAGTTTATATTCATCAACCAGTCACTTAGCGTGTCATTTCCGTTTACATCAAACAACATGATCAAATATACATAGTATTTTGTTGTTAATGCAGTATATAACCGCAGTAAAGGTATTCTGTCTCTAACATCATATAAATATATTGTATTCGTTTGCTATTGCCGACTTGAACTGTGAGAATATCTGAGAATCATGTTCCATTGGCACACCACATTGTCTGTATCACACCACCACACTCTAATCCCAGAACAACAGAGACTCATCGTATTATAATATGTTCTACATTTTAAGATATATATATATATATATATATATATATATATATATATATATGGCACATTCTACATCACTGTGCAAGTCAATACATAATGGTAACTCTTCAGTATAAAGCCTGAATTCGTTTATGCTGCTTAAAATCACTAAGTCATATAAGATCAATTTCAGACGTGTGGATAACTATTTAGCACTAAATATATATAACACAAGTTATTTTTAAGAAATTAAATCTTTATCGGTCAGCTAGCTAGCAGACATTACTACTAACAAAAGTTTTGTAATCATTCAAACCTGGCATTTTAGAACAGTGTTCACAACTATAAATTTCATCAAATTTCCGTATATTTGGTTCTAAAATCAAAAGGCTTTTACTTAATATGCTGTCGAAACATTTGATTCCAATTTAACATTCAATGATCAATGGGAAATTGATAGAGAAAGAAGAGGTACACATTTGGACTTTACAACATTCAACGAAAGTTTCATAAATGGTGTTTAACGGGCAAAATAAAGCTATTCTATCAATTAGTCAATCCAATTTCTAGAGAAAATCAAAAACATTCAAGTAGAAGACAATGAAATAATGGTGTCCTTTGATGTCACAGCATTATATACTTCAATTAGTCCAAAACTAGCAACAGAAACTATGCAACAATTACTCTATAGTGATGAAAACATAAAAACGCAGTGATGTTCAACTTGGATAAAACTCATAAAATTATGCCTTACAACATGCACTTCCAATTCAATACTCAAATACACAACGAACAGATTAAAGGAACACCAATGGGATCGCCCATATCAGGATTAGTAGTTGAAGCCGTCATACAAAGATTAAAATTAATAGCTCTACCTACAATCAAACTAAAAGTCTGGCCACATTACTTTGTGGATACATTTGTAATAATTAAGAGAAATGTGATTTAGAATATTCCTATAAATTAATAAACAACATGTTTGAAGACATCAAATTCACACGAGAAGAAGAATTAGATGACAAAATCCCATTTGTAGATGTCTTAATCAGGTGATTCAACACAGGGAATTTAGAAACACAAGTATATAGAAAATCAAAGCACACAGATCAAATACTCAGCTATACTAGCAATAGTCCAATTACTCACTCACAAAAGAAACTGTGTGCAGACATTGTTTAGAAGAGTTCAAACACATTGTAGCACACCAGAGTTGAAAAGAATGGAAGAAAAATACCTACAGACGGTCTTCAAAAAGAATGGTTATCCACAAAATTTCATCAAAAAGTGTTTAAAATTGAATCACAACACTAACAAAGAACCATCATCAAAGACCACAAGAAAATTCATCCTGCCATACATCAGAAATATCTCTTAAATAACAGCTAGAATACTGAAACCGTTTGATATAGATGTAGCACACGAACCAGCCAAATTGCTTAATTCGATCTTATGCGAACCAAAAGATCCGATAGAAAAAGGAGATAAAATTAACACCATTTACAAAATAAATTTTATGAACTGTAACAGGCATTCCATTGGCCAAAGTGGGCGTCCCCTTCGAATCAGAATCCAAGAACACAAGTCAGCCGTGAAAATACACGATATAAATTCTTTAGTATCAATGCACATAGACAATTATGGACATCAATTTGATTGGGATAATGCCGAAATGTTGGACAGAGGGAAACACCAAAAGTGCAGTCAGGGAATTCCTAGAAGCCTAGTACTCAAACGAGTATGCAATTAACAAACACGTTGATATATACCAAATATACCAACTAATAAAAAGTAAATCATGTGACCAGAAAGTTTAAAATTCAAGTCAATAGAAAATGGTCAATACATATGCAAAGATGGTTATGCCAAATATTACGCTGAACGGGAATGTTGTCCAGAAGGACGGCGAAAGCTCCGCAACTAAACCAACCAGGTCAGAGGACACTATTAAGAGCAAATATATATATGTCAACGAAAACCTCCAACCATTCATTTTCAGTACACTGAGAATTCATCTACAGAGTCAATCAATACCTGCCTATTTAGGCGCAGACTGATGCTCAAAGACTTCATGGATAGATGTTATTTGTTCGTCTACCCATCCCTAGCTCTTCCTTAATCCATTCCTGGATTAATTAACGCTGCTCCTCATACAAAGAGATAAATCAAAATATTTTTATTACTATTACTAGTATGGCTCCGATGAGAACATTCTAAACTTCGGAAAGTGGAAATAAATCTTCATCAAGGAATAATATGCTTATTCAATGCACTATTTATAATAATGATAACATTTACATGGTGTTATTCTCAGTTAACACTTCATAGACAAAGCATTACGTATATATATGTACTTGTATATTTATATATATATATATGTATTTGCATATTTTATAATAAATATATATGAAATCATACGTTCATCAAATGAAAAGAAAATCAATGTCAAAATTTCAAAGTGTGATGTTCAATCAATTATCTTCTGCCACACAAAATTTTGTAATATTTATGCTTACTACTGTCCTTATTATCAGTAGTAAGAGAAAACGAGATAATAATAATAATTTATTCATTTATCCATCTACGGATAGCTTCTAAAATATTGTGTATGCAGTATGTCAACATAATTGTTGATCATATTTTAATAATCTATTTGATGATGATTGACTTGATACCGTCAAATTGAAATCGGTTTCATTTAATCCAACTGATGAATCTTCACTAGTTGATGAACTTGAGGATAATGATGCATATTTACCGGGTAATTTTATATTTTCGAATGAGGATTTAATATTCATATGATTTGTATTTACTACAGAGTCATTACAGGTTGAATACCATTCAGTTATTTGACTTTCAATATTCTCTAGACATCTTCCTTCATTCATTGTTTGTGTTAAACAGTCAGTATTTACTGGGTTACAATGATTCCACAACAGGTCATAATTGTTGACATAATCCTCGTTATTATTATTATTGTTATTGTTATTATTATACTGTTGTCTAGTAGCCATACTTGCTTGCCATGCAAAAGCAGCGGCTGCCATTTTCATTGATTCAAGCTGTAGGTATTTGTGCGGTAATTGATCTGGTTGTGCAGCATTATACAGGGCATTCTGTAAAAGATTGTAAATAAAAATATATATTTGTCAAGTTTTCGTTTTGTAGGGATTTTGTTTGATTAATTTTTTTTTGATTTTTTTTTTTTGATTTACAGCTTGATTCCACACACTGTATATTTTTGGTACAAGTATGGAATTTTCAGCATGGATATCGGCAGCCCAAATTTCGCAGGCCGACCATAGATATCAGGTGTGCGCCGGCGGCGTGGGCTCGAACCCCGGACCATGTGCATGGTCGGCGAGAGTCCTAACCACTGTGGTTGGAGGATTTCATCATGAGTTGGCATCGGTTAAAGAACCACTGGAAAACTGACAGAGAGTACTGGACAGCTGTTTTGTCAGCCTAGTTTTGGACTCTCTCTATTTAAGTACGCACCCACCACAGGGGTTTCGAACCCAGGACCTAGTTACAAGACAAGCTGCTAGACCTCGGTGAGTGCGTACTGGCGAAGAGTCCCAAACTAGGCTGACAAAATAGTTGTCCAGTACTCTCTGTCAGTTTTCCAGTGTTTTTCTCTAACCGATACCAGCTCGTGATGAAGTGATACCTCCAACCAAAAATATATTAGTTTTGCTTAAAAAAACTGACTCAAAATATAAGTGGAATTTTATCAGTATAATTCTACTACCACTGGAATATTTACATTCCTCATAACCTTCGATTTTGAAACTTATTTGACAATATACTAAGTCACTGAGTTAATCGTAGAATTTGTACAACCCTATCTTCTAAATAGTTTTCCATTACACCAAGCCATAAAGTTACCTGTTTCTACAAATCAGTCATTAACGTTTGGCGAATTTATGCACAACTTCAGGTGTACAACAGATTGAAGTTTATATTGAAAGATGAAAACGTCAAATGTGTGACAGTATATCTTCAGTACTGCCCGTAGTGTTTACAGGAAATTCACAAAATTACAGATGATATTATATATATATGGAGCAGAAGACCGTTGAATACGTCAATACGTGTATCTATTAACTCCTAGATGACAGTTTTTCGACTGTCTTTATTTTGTAAACAGACAATTTCCAGGTATTGTCGTGTACAAAATACTATAACAAATGTAGCAATCAGTTCATTCGTATTTGTAAAAGTTTATAAAGGCAATCAATTATAACAATCTCCACTTAAATAGAATCTATAAACAATATCTGAGATTATTCCAGAAGTAAACTTGATGAGTTTATGGTGCTTAGTTTCACACTAGACATATTTATGCAACTGTTTGCAGAGCTTCGTGACTATAAGTCAGTTTATTCAGATATCTACAAAAAACACGAAATAATCGAGCAAAGAATATCCCCTTTTTCGATAAATTCCTCTTCTGGCTCTACAATTATATATATATGCATGTTTATATACACAGAATATTCAAGGTTGGTAGTTAATAACAATATTGGTGGAGCTCCTGTGGAGCCAGTTACATAGGCCGCACAATTAGACGTGTTTCTCGTCGAATTTCCGAACATCACCCTGCACCGGTGGTTAAGCAAGGGCCAAACTAAATCTATTCGTAGCGCTATTCTATCCCACTCATCTTGTGGATACAGAACATAAGATTGATGTTAACCAGGCTTTTAGAGTTATTTACCGGATACCAAAAAATCTCACCTCCTCCACCTTAGGAGTTCGATTACTAAATATTGCTGAGGCTGGCTGTTGGGATCCACATTAAAAAGCCTAATTTGTGCGTCGAAAAGAAGTTAGTTCAGACGCTCTCCTTACCGCTTGGCCATCTAGGTTTGAATGATTCTCAATTTTTGTGTAAATTTCCTAATTTTAGTTGATATTCTACTCGCTATTATATCTTTATTACTATTATAATTTAAGTATTTTTAGTGAACTGTGGAGATTCCATTGTGATCTCACTTTACAAATCGATATTATTTAAAAGGCACACTAATATTGTTATTAACTGCCAACCTTGAATATTCTGTGTATATAAACATGCATATATATATAATTGTAGAGCCAGAAGAGGAATTTATCGAAAAGGAGATATTCTTTGCTCGATTATTTTGTGTTTTATAGATATCTGAATGAATATTTTTGCTATATTTGAAATTAGATGGAGTAAATACATTACGGTTGTAGAAACAACCACAAGAGAAAGCTGACTGGTCGCCGTTTAGGTGAATGGGTCGCATAGCTCTGAAATGATACTAATTGTGGTAATGAAGACTGAGGCAGAGACACCATTAATTACTCTAATTTATGTAAAGCAGTAAAATCTTTATCTGATAAGCATAGGAAAATGAACCTGACCAGTGTAGTGTTTCATTCAGATCCAGGGTTCTATAATCATATGGAGACAAGATGGAGCTCGAGATAAACAAAACTGTGAAAATCGACAAAAAGTCCCTGGTTCGGACAGGAATGCATTAATTACCCTTCGACAGATTCTGGAACACAGATATATACTTATCGTTGTCCGAAGCTTGACGTGGTAATATAGTTATCAACTTTGTCGATCGTGGTGTTGTGGTATTATGAAACTAAGAAGACAGTGTCAAGAAAATATGGAATGCTAATCAAGATACTCTACTTGAACTTATGAAAGGCAGTTACTACCTGGGGTAAAGACAACCAGGAGCGTCCATCAGGACTCTTTGCGTGGACGTTCTTATTTGATTTTTATTATAAAGGTACTGAGATGTAACTGTGGTTCATTTCCATACTTCAGGAATTGGCTTGTTATCAGAGAAAGAGCATCGGTGGTGAAAGGCTCGTCGACCATGCACGCGGTACATAGTTCGATTCCCCACCGGCGTACACTTTTACCTCTCCTAGCCGACAGTATACCCGACAAAGAGAGAAGGCTGGGTGTGAGGCTAACAAGCCCATCCCGTACAAGGAAATGACACTGCTACTGTTTTATAAGTCAGTTATTGAAATGGTTAGGGAAACTAATACAACCCTGTGTAAAGACTCATGTAAATGCTACTCTGATATCAAATGACGCTCGAAACAGTAATACGAATGGCATCAAATTGACATCAGTAACCTAAAGTTAACTAGGATCATTGAAACGATCCAATAAATGATATTGCTGCTAAGTTGAACAGGGAAGTGATTAGTCTAAAATATATTGGTGTTATTACTGTTATTGTTGTTGTCCCCCTGGGTTCCCAGTGGAACATATCATCCATTTGGTTCTGTTCTCTACGATCATCACCATCTGCTGGCCGTATAATTGCCCACAAACTTTCATCTCCTTCTCCATGTTACCGCTTATCCGCACCCAACTCATCGTTTCACAATGGAGCTGCACTCGAACGATGGCTTGTGAAATGCGCGCGATGTCATTCGACAGTCTCTTCAGAGTGTGCCGTAGCCATCTGCATTTTCTCCTGCATGATTTATCGGGTAATAAGTTCTTAGTTGGCTGGTTTTTTCCCATAGTTTCTTCTTGGTAATTCTCTCTAGCTGGCCATTTGATCTTCAGTATAGGTCAATTGTACCTGTTGAATGAGAGTCTCGGATCCATAAAGAAGAATTGAATGACTTAACAGTTGTGCTGAAAAATTCGAATTCGATTCTTTATACTGCAGAGTGCGAAAAATTTACTTAGAAAAAATGGCTATACAGATAAATTCATTGAGAAAAATATAAATCCAGCTCCAAGGAGAGTCAGTATGACCACAGTCCCGAAAAAAAACAATGTTCATAAAATTGCAGTTCCTCGGTGACAACAACATCAGCGAATTAATAACACAGCGAGCACCTGAAGAATGCAGTTAAAAGAACTTATTATGCAGCAGAGGCGGTACGTTGACTCTTTACAACCACACCTATTTCATGTTCGAGAAATAAGGATAAACTACCTAAGTTCGCCGCCTCCTCTATGCGTATCTACCAGCTACACCGACGGGTGTACAATTAGGCAAGTTCATCGTCGTATTTCCGAACATCATCCAACGTGGTTAAGTAAGGGACAAAAAAGATCAATTCGTAGCTAGCTCTATTTTAGCCCACCTCGTTGATACTGAGCATAAGATTGATGTTAATACAGCATTTAAGATTATTTATTGCGTTCCAACTTATCTTAATTTTGCTCTGTGAGTTCGTCTTCTACCGACAGCTGAGGCGATTGGCATTCACCTGAAGAAGCCAAGCCTATGTGTGTACAGAAAAAATTTGTACAGCCACTATTCCCTACCGTGGCGGCCATCGTCACAAGAACGGATAAACAGGACTGCGTTGCCCCCCTCTCCCTAAACTTAATAAAAATTATAATTGTCTAAATTATTTATTTAATTTTTATTTATTTTGACCACTTCATCTTTAATTTACGTGTTATCCTTGTAAAATTAGTTTATTCTATCCATTTCTACCTTATGAAGGTGTATTAATTTTCTTCGTTAATTATTAACCTATTGACATTTTGACACTGTTTAATTATTGTTGACAAACATATCAGTGCCACTTGATTGGCAAACCTATTGTGTATTGTAATAAAAATGCTACACGTGTATATTAGAGTAGAGTCAGAGATGAGGATCTAATTGCAAAGTCAATATTTCTTCGCTCAGCTCAATCTTTCTGTTTTCTAAATGTCTAAATAGGGATTTTTTTCTTTATTAATCTCAGAGTGATAAAGGCTTGCCGTGCCCTTCCAATTCTGGCTGGCTCTGACATGTTCAACTTATGCCTGAGCTGAATTCAGTCAAACGGTAACTAACCAATGCCTTTAAGGACTTATTATTATTATTAATAAACCTCTGAATATTTCATTGCTACAATTCTGATCACAGTGCTAAAAAGTAACTGTCCTCATGCAAAGGCGTACAACTCTTCTCATGCAACTAAACTGTGTGCCTGAAGGCACTCTGCTTGATTAAAAAGCGCTGTAGGCACACACTTTGACTGTGCCTACGTTGGATAGATTAACCGGTGATTGTGGTGAAGAAGGATAGGGGTCACTCTATCTTCTGATCTTTCCTTCCTGGTCGTCTCATATCTTGACGATTTCTAAGAAAATATCCCGTCTTACCACCTTCCACATCAAGAAGTTAAGACTTTCTGGTGTAACCGAACCCTTACTCCTACAATTCCTTAACTCTCCCATTCTGCCTATTATTCTCTATTGTTCCCCCTTAGTTTTTCCAGGGCTATTGAAGAAAGACTATACCTTATCACACAGGATGTTAAAAGTTGTCAGCAGGGTAAGCAGTTTGCCACTTAGCCAGCTTGTTAATATTCTGGTGGACAGGCACATGGACTCATGTGAAAAATGGGCGAAATCCATTTTATCTGACTCACAACAACACCCTCTACATTCACAACTCTCCCCATGTATCTCTTCAGGGAAAACCAGAAGCCTATATAGGAAACTATATGCCCGCACTAGTAAGTACAAACACTCATCCATACCCTACCTAGCTCGTGTTCTGTGCGACAGAGAATAAAGCGTTAGGCGTGAAACCTTTAACTTATTAAATAGTCAGTAGAACTAATGGATCTCGTCTTTCCAACTCACATCATTTACAGGTACAACGTTTTCTCTCTACCTTCTTTTTTTCTCTTTCTGTATTTATTATTGTTGTGTGGTGGTTTGTTTCTCTCTTCCTTGCAAACTCTACTTAATACATTCTTGTTCGTTCTTTCACACTCTCTGTATATCTCGTCCATTTTGTTACCGATGACGCCAGTAAATATGTTAGTAGTATCTACTTTTCTAACACCTTCAAACACTCTGTTTAAATTTTGGCTTTGCTACCGACCGACATGCAAATATGTTGTTGTCAAAACTGACTGAGATAACTTTAATGTATGTAGAACTTTATTTATTGTTAATGTACTAACTGGATGGGCAATATTGTAGTAAAAAATGCTGAGAATTCCATTCTGTGTATCACAAGTACAGTTTTGGAATAAAGCCATTATTATCTTATCTTATCTTATAGGCGAGTAGAAAATGCATGAAAATTTTATTTATCAATCATCAATGAATGAATTTCTTTATTACGAAATCACTAACTTTTGATTTATTTTCCCATAAATTTGTTTTCAAATTTTCCTCATTTACCCAAAAAGGCTGTTCACAGAATTCATTACTCTTAGCATAGAATGATGACAAATAATAGGCTGGTATATCTGAATTAGTAAAAGGCGGTAAATTTTCATTCAATTGAACTTGACTAGTTAAAATGTCTGAATTTTGATGATTTATGTCACACGACGTCTTTGCGTTCATTTCATTCATTTCTGATTTCAATAGGCGCTTCCATTCTTCATTATTTCGATGACAATTCACAGAGGAGAGATCAACTGTTTCATTTTGATGCAATTCCAAAGGAGGCTGATAGGCATAACATGAATTATCATAATTTAAATCTGTTCTGTGTTGATGTAAATCACTATTTGTTGCGGTATTTTCATCAACCTTTATTAAAGGAAAACAAAAGAAATTCTGGATTATAAATAATGAAAGGAGAGAAGAAAGTTAACTGGAATTCTGTGTATAATTTGGCTTTCTTTTTTTTTTTAAAAAAAAATAGGTAACAGCAAAAATGCCGAGAAATCTAGAAGAGTTCAAGGCTTCGGGATTGGAGCTTTTTACAGTGTGGCGTTGCCAGCCTTACGCCTAACGGCGAAGTTCAACAATAGCGTCCCCCCAGGAGTGTGAACGCTCCAATGACCATGAACGCATGCTAGTCGTTGGCTAACGGCATCTGTCATTTGATCATAGCTGAAATATCAACGCTATATATTCATCGAATAAGGAGCAAATTTCACCCAGATCACGTTTTTAATTAGTGTTTGGACAATGTGTTAACATCTTGTTAGGGTTAGGATTAGGGCTAATGTAGGCATTGGGGTTAGGGTTAGGCTTACGGTCATAATTGGGATTAGGGACAGATTAATAGTTAGTGTCGTTTATTTCAATTTGTTTTATTACCCTCATTTTCCTTGTATGTAGTCATCGATGCCCTTATTGAAACCATAGTAATTTAAGGAGGGAAGGTTAGGCGGGCAAAGTTCAACAATAGCGTCCCAAGGAATGCGAACGCACGAGTGACCTTCAGCCAACCAATCATAAAAATGAGGCAATTTTGCACAAAAAATGACTTATATTCACAAGAAAATGCATGAAAACACATTACTAAACAGGATATCTTTCTCTCTGACATGACTTAAATATACGTCCCAGTTATAATGTGAGGAGTATCAGTTGCTAAGTTGGACTAGTTTCTGTAGATGTATTCACCAAAGTGACTGAAGATTGGCTGTTTTGTGAATCGCACATCTCTCTTCTGTTGCTGTGTAGTCCTCTCCAAATCCTTCGGTTGAATTACTATGGTTCCCAGTAAGAGGATTGACGACTACTTAACAGGAAAATGAGGATAATAAAACAAGTTGAAATAAACGACATTAACTATTAATCTATCCCTAATCGCAACCCTAACCTTAATCCTAACCCTAATGCCAATCCTTATCCTGCCGTAAACTTAACCGTAGTCCCAATTATGAACGTAACCCTAACCCTAACCCCAATGCCTACATTAGCCCTAATCCTAACCCTAACGAGATGTTAACACATTGTCCAAACAGTAATTAAAAGCGTGATCTGGGTGAATCTTGCTCCTTATTCGATGAATATATAGCGTTGATATTTCAGCTATGATCAGATGACAGATGCCGTTAGCCAACGACTAGCATGCATTCATGGTCATTGGAGCGTTCACACTCCTGGGGGGACGCTATTGTTGAACTTTGCCTCCATGCTTAATTAAAATGAGGCATAGGAATGTGTCAGCCGGGGGTTGGACCTTGAACTGTGTTTGTGATTGCAGAGCATCTTACTACTGTAAAACCGACGCATAATAGATATGTGTATACTGCTGCTTCACCAAGAATTAGAAGGACCCATCAGTAAGACAAGCTGTTCTTTCAACTGCCGGCAGCATCAGTGTATAGTCTCTCTCTCTCTCTCTGTGCATATGATGTTGGAGCTAAGGCTAAAGAACATATCAACCCTTCGAGTTTATGATTATTTAGCCCTGATTTACCTCTACATCTTTTTCTAATTAAAACTGTCTTTGTGATTCAAATGATTTTTGGTAACTGTGTCATCTAAGAAAAAGAAGTTATCAAGAGTGTTACTGCATTCGTCAAAGATGTATCACAGATTCACGTCAGTTAGAAAACCGTTAGAAACCAGAGAGTAGTGGACAGCTGTTCCGTCCCAGTTTGGAATTGTTCATTAGTACTCACCCACCACCGGGGTTCCAACCCACTAAGTACCTTCTAGGTCTGGCGTGAGGACAAATACTTGCCTCTGATGACACTGGCTTGTGTTCACGCTAAAATCACGAATTGGTAGTGGTTAGAATTCATGGGCTATGGCCATTCGACCGGGTCCCAGTGACTGAATGGTCAACGACTTTACCTTGCAACCGGAATACCTTGGGTTCAAACCCCACTGGATGTGTACTGACGAAGAGACCCTGGGGTTTCCAATGGTCCCCCTTAATTCATATCAAGCCATTAACAAATTTTGAAGAAAAACGAAAGTAGATTTTCCACTCAACGATGCCCTCCAATTGATCTGATTCATTCTGTGTTCCCATACCTCTACAATATGTGTATCTCTCCGAATGTTAGTTTAAGCAAAATGAAAAAAGTTCCTACATTTTGATCATGACTGTGTATTTGATTAATGGAGTTATGTGTATATATTATTATCATTATTATTCTAACCATTTTGATCTATCCCCCTATCTATCTATCTATCTATCTATATCTATCTATCTATCTGTAAATTTAGGCTTAGTGTGAAAGCAATTTCTGCAATTTTTACCTGTCCCATATTCAGGCCGACTAAATCTGTAGCTTTTTACCATGGTGGACAGTTGAAAAAGTTGTTTTTTTTCAGTATTCGGATAACTTTTTGATTCCTTGAACAAGGTTAATCCAGCCCCTTACACTGTCGTCTATATAAGCACAAATGCACACACACACACACACAGACAGACGCAAACAGGTATTAGAGGCATGTCAGTGTACACACACATATATACTGGACACTAGAATTTAGGGCTAATATTTCAACAAAAGAAGTTCTGGGAAATGCATAAACTGAATTCTCTCCCTCCCTCCCTCCCCCACCGCCATTTTGTTGTAGTATTACACTATAATCACAAAGTTTTATTTGAGGTGTGCATTGGTGTGTGTGTGTGTTTGTGTGCGTGAAAGCGGTAATAAGTGCGCATACAAATAATAATTATTATTCTGGTACAAAATTATTATTCTATAATGGGCATAAGATTAAACTGCCTAAATGTATCGTTCGATAGCAGAAGAATACTGCTAATATATCAAATGTCATTTAGAACCCTAGATTTATATTAGGCATATTTACCTAATAGCATGTTAATGTCTACTCATCATATACAGTAGTGTAGCGTTTCGTGTGTCACTAGTCTCTAGTCATTGTGTTCTACTAATTCTCTTTTCTTTTTTGCTTAACTTGAGCCATCAAAGGACAAAATAAATAAAAAAACAGGTCATGTCAAATATATTTGTCTTATAAAAAGTTAAACCAAGGGGTGAAGGAGCGTGAGGGGGGGCGAGGGGTGGTTGTGGTGATGTTTGTAATCACCACCTAATTGTGGTGGACTGGATTATGCGTCAGACAGTGAGTGGAAAACGAGAAGACAGGGAGGGATATCCTGAACCGATGCGAAGAACCTAGAAGACCTGGATTTCGCACGGCGATGATTTATGTTTGATGTCACTGTCACAAAATCGAAGACTTAGAGACACAAGCAAAAACCGACAAACTGGTTGAAGAAGCAGCCGGCGAAGATAGGACTCCTAGTGAACATAGACAAGACGGAGGTGATGAAAATAACCACCCAACAACAACAACAACAACAGCAGCAACATCCAGCCAACAGCCAATCACCATCAACGGGAGGGATTTGAAAGAGGTTACTTCATTCACTCACTGATCTAGGGAGGAAGCATTGTCTCAACTACAAGCAGTTGGAACGGACGAGGATGTCAAATCGAGAATCGAGAATCGGGTGGTGGTGGTGCGAGAAACACATTCATTCATCAACCTGAAACCAATCTGGAAATCTTCGTCACTCAGCCAGCATCAACAACAAACATCAACATCAGTCGGATTTTCAATACAAACGTCAAGTTAGTTAGTTCTTCTATACGGATCAAAAACTTGGCGAGTGGGTCACAAAGAATATTTCCAACAGCCTGTTGCAGACCTTTATCAAACAACAACTGTCTTCACTGGCTTTATACTGAAGATCAGATGGCCGGGCCGGGCCGGAAAGAATCACCAACAAGAAACTATGGGAAAAAACAAGGCGAGAACCAAGCGCCCAACGACAACAAATATGGAGGAGAAAGCGGATTGAGATGGATTGGACACTCGCTGAGGAGACCGCTGGGTGACATCACGCGTGTGTCAGGCCATTGCTCGAGTGGAACCCGAAAGGGAAGCGGTGAATGGGTCGTGAGTTCGAGGTTGGCATGGAGGAGATTGTGTGAAGAGAGAGGAGTTGAAACAGTATGGACCAATATGGATGCAGGTGAAAAGTGCAGCAGAAGACAGAAGCAAATAGAGACGTGAAGTTGAAGCCCTATGTTCCTATAGGAACCTAAGGGAACAATAATAATAATAATATGAGGCAAAAGCAGCCAGGACAAAATTGAATGCATAGCAAAGTGTTCGAAGCAGAACAGCCTAGCCTATTCAGTCTCCAGAAGTTTTTTTCAGAGGAAACAAAGAATGAAAATATTCACAGTAGTCACTGGATTGGAAAATCCCAAGATGTTCACGTTCTCAGTTCACCGGGTAGCGGGATGCGTGGGAGGGAGGGGTGAATAAATTCACTGAAACAAGTGCCACCTACATTTAAGAAATGGAATTGCTTTGGAGAAACACTTTTCTCCACGAGTTAAATTATCTTCCTTTTAGTTAACTATCTCAAAATCAGAAGTGGACTGATGATATAATCTTCAAGTCTGTGTAAGTAGTGAGACTACGGCAGTATGGTAACACTGGTAAAACAGGAGATTCCACTCTGTGTGTGTGTGTGTTATTTGACAGGAAGATACTCATATGCGTTTATTTTGTCAGCAGTATATTTCAGATGCTTCAACTCTAATACTTCCAGAATCGAAGACGACATACTGCACTACTTACTTAATTAATTCAAGGCAATACTAACACTTTTCTTATTGTACAATTGGTGGATGGTGGCTAGCAGCGGAATCCAGGATAACGCGCATTTCGTCCTATTTGGGACTCGTCAGCCACTGGATGTACCTGCATTTCTCAGTGAGTGATGATGTTCCCACCGAGGCTCGAACCCAGTACCCATAGTTTCAAACGCCAAAGCGTTATCCACTAGACCA